CGTAAATAATAAATTTTTTAAAAGTTTACACTATATATATATATATATATACTTAGGATAGAATTCCTCAATATAATTTTGATCGGATCAAACTTAAATTTTGGATCTATACCCGACCCGATAACGTGTGATTCCACAAGCTCATCGAATTAGTATCGCGGCCACTAGGACGACCAAAATAAAATCAAAATTTACCCGAACCATACCTGATTCGACACGATGATGGGCCCATGGAGAACCACAAGACACGAGGCAGGTAGCTGGAAAGGTCGATATGTGGGTGCGCGAATTAACTCTCGTTTATTTCGTGGCTCCTCTCTGCAAAACCCTAAGCCCCTTTTTCGTTCCGCCCAAAGGATCCTCTCGATTGAAAGGTCTACTACGCTTCTCTGAAGCCCGAATCGATCTCTCTTCCTTGCCGCCGTCTACTCCTCGACGAATGCATCCCTAATTAGCGCTTGGTTTTGCGTCTTTTCGCTCTTTGGTGAGTCTTCGGTCGGTTCCAAACACTAAAAATGTCGCCCTTTTCTTCAGCTATTCATCTCCATTGAAAAATTCCTCTGGGTTTTGCTGTCATATTGCTTAAATTTCGTCCGTGTTAATGAAAATTAATCATCTTTGTTTTTATTTTTGCTATCTTTTCTGCTTTTGAGGTATTGCTGTCCTAATTCAGTTCAGACACGAAAAATGTCGCCTTTTCTTTAGCTCTTCGGCTCGCGGCAAAAAATTTCTATTGTACTTATTTTTGAGTGTTTATCCCCATTGTTTGCAGAAATATTGTTTAGAAACCCGTTCAGCTGATGAAAGAAACCATCTCCTGTACCTGTTTTCTGTCCGTCAATCCGATTTTTTCTTGGTCATTCTGTTCTTGAATGGTAGAGGGAGGCGAATGGAGATAAAGTACTCGATTGATGACCTCCCGGTTCAGGATCCTCCAACAGAGGAGTTCACCGCTTCGGACCTCACGTGGACCAAGTACGGAAGCTCTGAGCACCACGTCGATGATGTAGCTCTTGTTCCTTATGACCGGGTTGATGCCTTTATCGGTGGTGAATGCTCGAACCCAGAGCATCCCACTCGATTCCACATCGAGAGGGGAAGGAAGAGAGAGAGGGGTAGCCTGAAGGAATGTAAAAGTGATGAATACCTCCTATATAGGCTGTGAGTTCTCAAATTTTCTTTTCTTTGTTACCCTGCTTCGTTTAAGTTCCGTTCTTTCTTGCTTCATTTTTTGTTTGCTAATTCTTTATTTTTTTTCTGCTACCTATTTGTCTGAAGATATTGGTGTTCATTTGGTCCGGAGAATTATGGAGAGGGGGGAAGCATATTACCTAGCCGAAGATATAGGCTCAACACAAGAAATCGTGCTGCTCGGCCGCAATCCATGCGTGGCTGCACGTGCCATTTTGCCATCAAGCGCTTATATGCACGACCGTCGATTGCTCTTATCATATATCACGAAAGGCGCCATGTCAATAAGTCGGGTTTTATATGCCATGGTCCGCTTGATCGTGATGCAATCGGCCCAGGTGCCAAGAAAGTCCCATACATTTGCAGTGAAATCCAGCAACAGACCATGTCCCTGATTTATCTTGGCATTCCCGAAGAAAATGTTTTGCAAACACATATTGAAGGTGTTCAACGTTATTGTGATCCAAACGCGAGCGTGAATAGCCTTGCTTCTCAGTACGTCCAGAAGCTTGGGATGATTATTAAAAGGTCCACACATGAGCTGGATCTGGATGACCAAGCCAGCATTCGCATGTGGGTTGAGAAAAATAAGAAATCCGTGTTCTTCTACCAGGATTCTTCAGAGACTGATCCTTTTATTTTAGGGATCCAAACAGAGTGGCAGTTGCAGCAGATGATCCGGTTCTGTCATCAAAGCATTCTAGCATGTGACTCATCTTTCGGCATAAGCAAGCTGAAGGTATTTAAATGATAATTCTTGGTTGAATATTTGTGCGATGATGCATACGTTTGCTTGAATTGCCAATCAACTCAATGCATTTGTTGATATTTTGGCAGCTCATGTCAATTTATTCCAGATTGATTGGATTAGTTCAACTGCATTAAGATTTGGACATCACTTATACATGGTGTATATAATCACATTTGTAGATTTTTTTTTTTTGCTGGCTAAGCATGTTACTTATGCTGTGAAACTCTTTTTCCTTGCAGTATCCACTGTACACGCTCCTTGCTTTTGACTCTAGGCATCATGCTTTGCCTGTTGCTTGGGTTATAACCCGAACCATCACTAAGCAGGATGTTTCTAAATGGATGAAAGCTCTTGTAGATAGGATTCGTGCTGTTGACTCGGTTTGGAATATCTATGGGTTCATTATCGATGATCCAGCGCTAGAAATTGACCCTATCAGGCAAGTTGGTGGTTATTTATTATTTCTTAATTTCAGCTTTACTTCAATAGAGTGTTCTCACTAGAACAGTCAGTTTTCTACAGGGAGATATTTTGCTGTCCTATCCTCTTCTCACTCTGGCGTATTCGTAGATCATGGCTTAAAAATGTGATCAAGAAGTGTGGTCACATTGAAGTTCAGCGAGAAATATACAAACGTTTGGGCAAGATAATGTACAGTATATGGACTAAAGAAGATCCTATGGATGCTATGGAAGAATTATTTCAGGATTTTATTGACCAGACTGCCTTCATTCAGTATTTTAAGGCATTTTGGGTTCCAAAAATTGGTAAGGGGATATCTATGCCATCAACTTTTCGTGCCTTTTTGTGTATGTGTTCATATACATGTCTTCTTTTATGCTTATATTATGTCTACATAACTTATTGTGCTTATGTTAGAGATGTGGCTTGGAACCATCAAGAGTCTTCCACTTGCAAGCCAGGAGTCATGTGGTGCTATCGAAGGATACCATGTGAAGCTCAAGCTCAAAGTTTATGACGACTCCCATCTTGGTGCACTCCAACGAGTGGATTGGTTGGTTCATAAGCTGACAACCGAACTTCATTCCGGTTACTGGCTTGATCTATATGCAGATGAAAGCGGGTCTTTCCCATCAGTAAAAGAGGAATACATTTTATCCACTTCATGGCACAGGGCTTTGCAGATTCCAGACGATGTTGTTACTTTCGACGATAAAGAGCATCTCTTTGCTAAGGTTCTAAGCCAGAAGGATGGCGGCCAAGAACGGATGGTGTGGAACCCAGGGTCAGAGTTTGCTCTCTGTGATTGTTCATGGTCAATGCAGGGGAACCTTTGCAAACATATTATAAAGGTTAATCTTCTCTGCCAACATAAAAAGGAGTTTCTGCCTTCCTTGTCGTACCTATCATTTCAAGAGGTCCTGCTCGATCTTTGGAGAAAACCAATGGACGACTCTCTATCGCTTGATCTGTCCATGGCATGGGTTGCACAAATGCAGGACAATATTCAAAGACTAGTGGAACTCATTACTTCTGGTGATATCGCCAAAGTGACCAACAAATTGCCATTGAAATGGATTGGTAGAAGAGAGAGGACATCAGTTGGTAAACCCACTGGTAGTAGTACTCTTTCTCTTCGTCGCACCAACAAAGGAGGTGTCCAAAAAAAAGCTGCCGCTAGGAGGAAGAGCCGAAAGCGTAAGAGACTCTCCAGAATCAAAAGTTACTCATAAATTCTATGTTTCACGATGAGGATTGTTGA